TGCTCCCTTTCTCTCTCTCTCTCTCTCTCTCTCTCTCTCTCTCTCTCTCTCTCTCTCTCTCTGATTCTGATTTTCAGGATAGTAAATGCACATATGTAATATTAAATGCACACACAATTAAAAAAAAAAATTCTTTTAAATTTCAAGTGGTTTATTGCAATGATAGTTTTACATACAATATTGTCAAAGCACCATAAGCAGTGACAGGAAAACTAAAAGTAAAATAAATAAATAAAATGTTTCTGCAAAGGTAATACAATAACAATATATAATACTATGAAATTAAACATTCAGCAGGACATTAGTCAGCATTGAATGTGCAGTGGCTCTTTTCAGTGTGCAGCTCAGATATGATTTATGCATTATGCATAAAAGTTTTTCCTCTGTACAGTGAGCATGGCATTTTGTCTGAGCGTTTTTCTATCTGCATGCACACATGAAATTAACCAGTTGTAATATTTCATTTCCCATATCACATAAGAATTTACATGTAGTGCTTATTGTATTGTGCTGGTTCTGTTATGCTTTCAGTTTTATTTTCTCATCTGTATTTTCCTAAATCTGTGTATTCTACAAAACAGCATATGATGAATCAGAGCTTATTGTGCTTGATCGCTGTATATAGATTGGCCATTAAGCAATGCAATTCAAAATGTTTGACATATTCAACCAGTGTTTACATGACACACAGTTATGAGACTCAGTGTACAGCCAAAGGATCTGTGATTGCTTAGTCAGGGGAGTGTTTTCTGTCTTCATCCAGAACCTCAGCCAGAGAACAGACATTTCAGATAACACATGTTTAATGGTCCTGTTCTCTTACAACCAGTAAGAGAATTAGCACTTCTGAGCCTGGGGTTCCCTCGGGAATCTCAAACAGATTTTTGAACTTGTGGTTTTTGATTTATGAATACAATAAGGTCTGTAGTTAACACTACTTTAAGAGAATTTCACGTTTTGTTCTACAAAATGAATTGCACACAGTCATACCTCAAATGTGAATTTAGGTACATAAGGACTACAAATACCACAAAATGGTATTTTAAAACCACATTTGAAATTCCTGAGGGAACCCAGGTCAAGTTATCCTTCCAGATTTGCCTATGAATTGACGTCAGGACTGAACAGCTCTATTTAGTGTTCAGCTGAGGGCAAACATTGAAGGATTAGTTCATTTAGTTCATCATTTACTCGCCCATTCAAACGTTGTATGACTTACTTTTTTCTGTGGAACACAAAAAATATATATATATTAAAGGATGTTTCACAAAAAAAGTACAAATTTTTCTAAGATATATATTTTCTTA